TGGTCCTCGAGCAGACCACAGCCGGTCGGGGTGCGCCGCAGGGAGGGGGGCAGGGAGGACAGTCCCCACGTCGCCGTCCTGGTCCCGGGGTTCGGCCGCGCTGGGACGGGCGCGGGCAGGGGCCCTACCGCTTCAAGGTATTCGACCGCTTGCGTGGAGTATAATGTCGAAGAGACTGTCAGGCGGGGGAGGATCTCTGCTGCTTCCTTGGATTCTGGAAAGCTTGGTGGGAGGGAAGACCGGTTAGGCATCTGGTAGAGACTGGAATTGGAGAGCGGACCTCGCGCTGCCCGGAATTCTGGTTCCACGTGCGGCGGTTAACTCCAGAGGTGGATTTCGGCCTGTGTTTCTCAGCTTCGGGCTGGTGCTGAGAGAGGTTAAGTAACATGTTTGCGGTCACCTGGCTGCTAAGGGCTGGAGACAGGCCCTTAGGTTTGTGTGACTTAGGACCAGGTTTATCTAGGGAGCGTCGCTGCGTTCCAGTGGCTGCCTGGGGCTGTGGCCCTCACGATCCAAGTAATACTCAGAAGTCTTGTCACACGGGAGTGCTTTTCACTTAGAAAAATGTGTGAGAGTAGCCCGTTTTGATCCTGGATGCTGGAAAGTGACTTGGCAGTATCACCTCTGCTCTCCTTCCGGTCGAGGGCGGGAAGCTTGTGGGCCTGTGTCTGAAGGGCTGAATCTGCCTGGTGTGGGTGCTGTCTGATCAGTCCTCGGATTGCTGAGAGCCGGGACCATGAGGACTTTATTTTCAAATGTCTCATGTTTTTCAAAGATGTTTAAACATAAATACTTGTATTATAACTGTCATGATAAAGGACATCTTATAGGTCCTTTATGAAACAGCTGTAGAGGTGTGAACGCTCAGCTGGGACTTTAACTGCAGCATCAGCTTGCAGTCTGCTGCGGCTCACAAGGCAGGTGGCCTGCCAGCCACTCCCAGCCAGGGAGTCCTCAGATCCTCTTCTGTGATGGTCTGATCTGAGGCTGACTGCAAGCTGCTGGAGTTTTTTTGTTCACTCCCATTGCTCTTGGCTTTAGCTCTGATTTGTTTTCCTTCCTTAGAAGACGTCTGGTCTTGGAGCTGAAGTACTGCTGCTGTTGCTGCCTGACTGGAAGTGGCCGAGGCCGGGTGGTGGCCGAGTGACTGCCGAGTGTACAGGTTCGTGTTGATGCTGTCCGCCTGGGGTGACCCTTGGCCAAGTGCTGCTTCTGCTTGGATGTCTTGCTGCAAGAAACCTTGCTTCTCTTCCTTTGAGTGCTTCCCAAAGGAAGCTGTGACCTGCTTTTCAAGGCTTAATGCCTCTGCTTTTATTTTGGGTCTCAGTACATCTTCTTCTAAGGTTCTTATTCCATCAGTGGTCGCCTCTCCCCTTCTTCCACATGGATTTTTAGACGATCGTTTTTTTGACCTCACCATAGTGAGCCATTTAAATGTGGTTTATTTGGTCTCAGACTCGGCCTTTCCCGTGCTGTGCCCATGAGCCTCCCGCCTGTAGGTACCCTCAGTGAGCTTTCCACTTTCTGTGGCAACAGCTGTCATCTCTCTGTGCGGTTCCTGAATTCACTTATTTATCTGGCATGTATTAGGTGCCTGCCTTCTGTCAGGAACTGTTGTCGACAAGACAGAACCTCCCTGCTGAGGGAATGTCCCTCCCAGGACAGGAAAGCAGAGGAGGAGGCAGTGCTGGGTGGAGGGAGCAGCTGTCCGGGGGAGCTTACAGGGCTGTGCAGAGAGAGGCTGGATGCTGAGCCCTGAGCAGGCGGAGGTCTGGAGAGTGTTCCAGTCCTTGATCCCCAGCCCTGCCCCTTTGACACTGCAGTCCCCAACCTCCATGGAACTCAGGACCTTCCAGCTGAATGTCAGCTGCTCACGTCAGCTGAGAGGGTGACCGTGGAATGGCGGGTGGGCTAGAGGAGCAGCTCTGAGCGTGGCCACCAGCAGGGAGGCCGCTGGGAGGACACACTGAGGGATGCCTTAGCACCAGGCAGTTGAGGATGCTGTCCTGGGACTCCCACCCCCATGTGTGTTCTTGCCATCTGTTGCTTTGCCTCCGTCCTCCAGTCTCAGCATCCCAGGTAGGCACTCTGACTTGGCCCAGCCGTGGTCAAGCTTGTACCTAACTGCCAGGGGGCAAGCACAGAGGACATCTGACTTTCCTTCTCTGTGATGTGGGCTGGGGTCCCTAAAAGAGAAAAGAGGCTTTGGATCCTGGCCAGAGTCTTCTACTCAGTCAGACATTGGACACTTGAGTGACCCCTCATTGTTCTGGGCGAGGCCTTGCCACGGCCTAGAAAGGTCTCTAAAACCTGCCTCCTCCTAGTCTTCCACGCCTGCTCCCAGCTCTGCACATGTGCAGCCCCTGGGGCTCCCCTCTTCCTCAGCTCTCACTTGGGAGACCCTCTGTACCCGCATCCCACCTGCCCTGTCGTTCTTCGCCCTGGGCCCGCTGTTCTTGTCCTCCTAAACCGGTCACCACGTGAGAGCAAGCACTTTGTCACATGTCTCCCCTCCAGAAGGTCAGCTCCATGAGGCAGCACCACGGCACCCACAGCGGCACCTGGAACACGGCAGGTGCTCCCTGCTGTGTCGGAGTGAGCGCCCCGTGGGTGTGCCGCGCAGTCCCTGTGCGCGCATCCCCCTGCCCACCTCGCAGCCCTACCCGTCCTCCCCGGGGGGTTTTCTGTGGGACCCGTGTGACGTTGGTCATCACTCCCCATGGGCGAGGACGCTGTCTGTCGGTCTTGTTTCCCCTGCACCCGCCACAGTGCTAGCCAGCCCAGGTGGTGTTCAGAGCCAGCCACCTCAGAGCCTGCTGGGCAGGAACCCGTTGGAGGACGCCACATGGCCCGGGGCAGGACGGGGGTGCTGGTGTTGGTGCGCTGGTGGGCTAACGGTGTGTCCCCCCCACGCAGGCCTCGCGCTGTCTCCCTGGCACCATGAATGCCATTGTCGCGCTCTGCCACTTCTGCGAGCTCCATGGGCCCCGCACGCTCTTCTGCACGGAGGTCCTGCACGCACCACTCCCGCAGGGCGCTGGGAGCGGGGACAGCCCTGGCCGAGCCGAGCAGGCCGAGGAGGAGGAGGGCGGCATCCAGATGAGCAGTCGGATCCGTGCCCACAGCCCCGCCGAGGGGGCCAGCGCCGAGTCCAGCAGCCCAGGACCCAAAAAGTCGGACATGTGCGAGGCAGGTGTCTCTCTGCGGGGTCCCGTGCCGGTGCTGTGTGCTTGACCCCAAGGGGCGGCGGGGGAGCAGGGGCCCACGGCGCAGTGGATGTGACCTCACGGCCGGCGCTGCAGCTGACTGTTCCCTGGGGGCCGGTGGAAGGCGCTGCTGCCTTCATCCCCTTTGGTTCTTCCCCTTCCTCCTGGCGTCAGCTCTCCCAGCCCGCTCTGTGCCCCAGGCAGTTGGCAGCATCATGGAGTTTGCCTCTCCGTCCTCCCCTCATGGGCGTGTTCACACCTTGCCCTCGGCCCAGTGTTCTTGGGAGTTTTCGCCGCATGGGTGTCTGGGCATTCTTCCTTGTGCAGCTTCCTAAGCCCTGGGGAACGAGGGTTAAGTTCCCTCACCAGGCCACTGCTTCACCTGAAGGACCTGGGTCGGGACCCGAAGTCAGGGCTAGTGTCACTCCTGCCACCATGGTGTGAGCAGAAATCCAGCCACGTTAGTTTGGCTCCGCTGAGAGCAGCCGGCAAGCCTGAGGTTGATCTACTTATTGCTGGAGACACGTGTGAGGGATGGAGAGGGAGGGGGCCAAAGGTGGGGGAGCTTTCCTTCCTGAGACGGAGAAGAATGTAGATAGGAGGTCTGGACAACTAGAGTCCGGGAGAGCGTCCTTGAGCTGCAGTGGGCTTGGAGGGGAGGGGCCCTGCATCGCACAGGGACAGGCTTGCTTCTGGGCCCTCTTGGGCGCAGCCCAGGTCCAGGGCAGCCTCCAGCAGGCACAGCCCCCGCCCCAGAATGGAGGTGGCTTCAGGGCACAGCAGCCAGGCCACTGTCCAGTCCATTCCCTGCAGCAGAGGGTCTGGGCTTGTCGTCAGGCTGCACAGCAACGCCAGCGTCTGGAGCCTCCCGAGGCCCCTGCCAGGTGGTTGTGCTAGGGTCAGGGCAGTGGCTGGCACAGCGTGCTGTGTGAGCCACCACTCAGCTTCGCCTTCTGTGATGTGGGGGTGTTCCCTGTGACTCCCTCACGGAGTTGTGCTCTGGATTAAATGAGATAATGCAGAGCTCTTTGAAAGCCCTGCTACTTAAATGCTCAGTGGGTTGGATCTGACCACCCTTGTGAGGCCTGCTCCTGGTTTTCCTCTTCAGGAAACACTGACATCCTCAGCGAAATTTAACTCTAGAAGCCGGTTATTTTTATATGAAGATAGATTGAGTTTTCTGCTTCAGATTCACATAAGAGTAGGAATATGTGTCGCTTGCTTCTTGGCTGACTGCTTTCCTCTTTTCTTTTTCGTGGTCAGGGCTGCCGGTCACTTGCCGCAGGGCACCCTGGGTACATCAGCCATGATCAGGAGACCTCGATTAAATACGTCAGCCACCAGCACCCCAACCATCCCCAGCTCTTCAGCATTGTCCGCCAGGCCTGCGTGCGGAGCCTGAGCTGCGAGGTGAGCATCTGACCGGGTCTCTGCAGGAACTTGGCACACATGCTGAGAGGCCTGAGCAGGGCAGGTGTCGGTCATGGAAGGAGGCAGACGTGCAGGCATGAGGAAGACGGCACACCCACAAGCAGGGCGTGGGGCAGCCTCGGCTTGGGGATGGGTCCTGTTGGATCCCAGTTTTCCCAGTGGTCTTTGGCCTGCCGTTTTCAGCGCCAGACTTGCGTCAGTCACTCTTTGTGGACACGTGCTCTGGCGTGCCGACTACAGCAGACACACCTCCTTCCTGCCTCAGTGGTCATCCCTGCCCCAGTGGGCCGCCGAGGAGTGGGTCTGTGTGTCTTACATGCATGGTGGGGCGGTTGTGGCCGAGTCTTAGCTTCTGTGTTCTCATGTCACAGAGAGTTGAGAGTCTAGTCACTCACGCTTCCTGTCCCTGTACCACGGAGCAGACGCCAGGCTCCCCTGTGCCGGCCCTCGCTGCCCCTGGCCCACCTGGCTGGCCCCCTCTTACTTCCTGCCACCCCCTCTGCTGGGCGGCAGGCGGCCATGTCTGATGGAGCTGTGTGGCATGTCGCGGGGGAGGCCTGGCTTCTCCTGCACACAGAGTATGCCACTCTGAGGACAGGACTGTGCAGTGGCTGCCTTGGCCTGCTGGTGGTCTGGCATGCTGCAGGTGAGGGAGCCGGGGTAGGTGTCGTGTTGCACAGGGGTTCTTCATGGCTCAAGGCAGGAAAAGTGAGTGAGCCTGCTGTACTGGCCCTTGTGTTTACATGGAAACCAGTGTTTTCTTGAGGAAATTTGACCCCAGGAGCCAGGTGACAGCAAACTTCCTGGCTCATCCCGCTCTGCCGGTAGCCGGCGCTGGTTGATGAGCGTGGAGAAATGTCTGGTGTGACGGTGTGACCGCGGCGGAGGCCTGTGCCTGGAGCGCTCTTGTTTGGCCCCAGGTCTGCCCCGGCCGCGAGGGCCCCATCTTCTTCGGGGACGAGCAGCATGGCTTTGTGTTCAGCCACACCTTCTTCATCAAAGACAGCCTGGCCAGGGGCTTCCAGCGCTGGTACAGCATCATCGCCATCATGATGGACCGCATTTACCTCATCAACTCCTGGCCCTTCCTGCTTGGGAAGATCCGAGGCATCATCGATGAGCTCCAGGACAAGGCTCTCAAGGTGCAGGGGCGGGGCGGGGCGAGAGCCAGGTTGGGGGTTGTGGTGGG